CGTTTATTGTGTTAAAGTATCCTCTTGTCTCGTTCTCGTGAACCTGAGATCATGTATTGGCTCATGAGTTAAATGTTTCATCACACCCCTATTAAGCTGTTATGCATTTAATGGTACTTGTGAATTATCATCATTAAACAAACCAGAGAGCTTTGTCACTGCGAGAGCACCATTGTTTTCTGTTCTGCTCTGCTTATTTGCTGCAGGAAAAGAGAAAGCTAATGGATACATCTCCTTTTGACACTAACAGAGGGATTCCTGAGTCTGCCTCACAATTAAATGCATTTTAATGTGAAGACAGGACCAGGCCTTAATGCTTATAAAGCATTAAGATCATGGGCAATGTGTCGAGTCTGATAAGGAGCTTCGTGGGTATGGGTTTTCAAAATTCAGCCCATGCAGGACTAAGTGACAGTATGTGTGAGTTACAATAAACACTCTACACTCCGTCACACACATGCATCAGTTTAGTACGTGCACACACACACACACACACACACACACAGTCCAGATCCTTCACCGCACAAGTTCACTGCTCTTCCAAACAAGGACAAGTCTGCACTGGAGACCGGGGCGTTTATCTAAGCTCTAGCTGTATCAACACAATGTGGAATGAGCTACAAGTGTAATGCATGGGGAATGCGGCAAACCTCAGGCTTTTAAAAGACTCTTACAGCTTTTAGTGTCTGTGCTTTATATTCATCTCAGCCCATAATTAACTCAGTCGTGCACACAGTAGCATTCAGACTAGTGGAAAAAATGACTACTCTGAGTAGCTGTCCCCAGAGAATGGATGGGCAGGAAGTGGTTTGGAAGCCAATAACTACTGTCCAGTGAGTTTGTGTGGACATTCCTGGGCAGGGAGGAGGCGAGAAAATGAAGAAACATCCTGTTTCCTCCTTTAAATTTGTTTTCTCACTGCTATTTTTATGTGTGTGGCACTTCTGTATAAGTGTATGCAGTTGCCTTTAAGATGCGTTGTCCTTCCTGACTAAAGTTTGTAAACAGACTTTTTTTTTAATGATTTGCTTTTTCCCAGATGTGTGACTATGGAAATTAGTCCAGTGTGAATGGTTTTACAGTTGGTCTACAGGAAACCTGCTTAAGATATGATTACTATTACTATTTAATAAAAAAAAGATTACCACTTTACTCCCACATGATCAGCCTTGTGACACAACCATGTTTCTACAAAGCCAAGAAACTTGAGTACTGTACTTGAGAAAGAACTTAAAAAGGCTTTTGACAGGTGTTAGAATGATGTTTAGCTGTTCTTTTAATTAGAAGGCTTAACGTCCATAGAGGCCTAAATTGCAAAATTGAAGCAAATGAGCAGAGCAGGACAACTCTACACTCAGCAGCAACTCAAAAGTGACTGCTAGTTGATATTTATCTGACAACTGTGCTAAACCAGTCCTCCATGCTGGGTTTGTTGTGTTGCTGCCAGCAATAATAAAAAGAGGCTTTCCAGTTGAACTCCTGTCACTTTATTTACTGGCAGTTCAACGGGGCCGTTTGGATACGTTATATTTATGCACGCACAGAATAAACAGCACAAAGACACAGCCTAAAGACAATTCTGGACTTTGACACAGCCGTTCATCCGTAACACAGTGGGGGGCGCTAACGAGCAGTTTGAGTGGCCAAGTTCAGGTTGCAGCTTTCCAAAGAAATGAACCCAACGTGAAAATAATGTACTTCATCATTCCCTGTTAAAAGCCATTGTCTTAATGCACATGAAACAGGTTTTTGTACATGTAAAGCGACAAACAGCCTGTTTACATGGGTTTGTCATGACTAGGTTAGTTTGAGAGGATGGAACATGCCGGGTACTGCGGTTTTCTCCTGCACTGTCAAACTTCTCAACTTTTAGGAAAACGTCACATCAAGGAAAACACTTTCTAACTTATCACTTACCCGTTTGTCAGCTCACTAATGCCGAGCATCACTCCGCTCTCTCACAGGCCTGGTTCGCGTTTCCGGTCTTCGGTTGCCGACGTCCAGATGTTGTACGGGCTGGGATGGATCGTATCGCTAGCAAGTACTGGTTTCCACACAACCAGCAGAATGGCGAAAACGGGCCTCGCCTCTGTGCGGGATCAACACTAAATCAACGGAATACTACACTTCCACCTATAACTTTCAAAATAAAGCTCCGCCGGACTTTTGGAAATGTTCATAAAAAACAAACGGAACTAAAATACACACAAGGAAGGTGAAAGTGTTTTATTTTTATATACGCTGTTCAAAAACATTAAGGGAACGCATCATCATCACAGTATAACACCAAGTCAGTTAAACCTCAGGGTCCTATCTGTCCATTCAGGAGGTGCAAGTCATTTTGAATCAGTTTCACCTGCTTTGGTGCAAATGAAAGTGACAACAGATGCAATGGAGAGGCAAAAGCAAGGCAACCCCTGCAAAAGGAATGGTTTTGCATGGGGTGGTCACAGACAAACGCTCTCTCCTGATTCTTCCTGACTGATTCATCTCAGGTTGTGTTTTGCTAGTGTCCTTGTCACTACTGGTAGCATGAGGCAGTATCTCCAGCCCAGTCAGGTTGCACAGGTAGTCCAGTTACTTCAAGATGGCACATCCATATGTACAGTCACAAAAAGGTTGGCTGTGTCACCCAGTACAGTCCCAAGAGCATGGAGGAGATACCAGGAGACCGTCCGTTACACCAGGAGGGCTGGACAGGGCCATAGAAGGGCAACAACTCATCAGCAAGACCAGTATCTGCTCCTTTATGCAATGAGGAACAGGAGGAGCACTGTGAGAGCCCTACAAAATGATCTCCAGCAGCTACTGGTGTGCATGTTTCTGACCAAACTGTCAGAAACAGACTCTGTGAGGATGACCTGTGCTCACAGCCCAGCACCGTGCAGTTCAACTGGCATTCTCCAGAGAACACCAGAATTGGCAGGTCTGCCAGTGTCACCCGGTTCTCTTCAGAGATGAGAACAGGTTGAAGCCTGTTCACATGTGACAGGCATGAAAGAGTCTGGAGACGCCACGGCCAACATTATGCTGCCTGTATCATCACTGAGCATGACCGGTTTTGTGGTGGGTTTGTGATGGTCTGGGGAGGCATATTTTTAGAGGTCTGCACAGACCTCCATGTCATAGCCAAAAGTACCCTGACTGCTGTGATGTACTGGGATGAAATCCTCAGAGCAATTGTTAGACTTTACGCTGGGGCCTTGGGCACTGGGCTCCACCTGGTGCAGGACAATGCCCGGTCTCATGTGGCCAGAGTGTGTAGGCAGTTCCTGGATGACGATGGAGTTGATTGGTCCTCATGTTCCCCTGACCTAAATCCAATTGAGCACCTGTGGGACATTATGTATCAGTGCATCTGATGCCACCAAGTACCACCACAGACTGTCCAGGAGCTCACTGATGCCCTGATCCATGTCTGGGAGGAGATCCCCCAGGACACCCTTAGAACATTCCCACATGTTGTTGGGAGAGCGCACAGACGTGGGGACCATACACACTTCTGAGTCACAGTAGTTGCCATGACGAAACTCACGGAACTTGGATGAACCTGTGAGGAGATCGTGCCCCTTTAGCCCATAGCATACTCACAATAGGTAATAAGACAAATCTGTGCTTTTATTTTGAAAAGCTCCTCGTCCATTAACTGTTTTTGTGTGCATCTGTAGACGCTTCCCAATTAGTCTGCCAGAGTCCACCGCTGGAAAATTATGTTTTAGTCAGAAAACCGTAAGACCCGCCCTGAGGGTTTAATGCAAGATTGTTGAATCGCTACCTTGTTAAACATGGAGGCACTGATTCCGCCCAATGCTCTTGCATCCTCTGTTGTCATATATAATTTACAGATGAAACCACTTTGGGATGTAGGCTATATGAGATTTAACTTTTCATTTTATGTTCACATGGCCGGGGAGGAGGGGTTCCGTCAAGAAAACTGTCCCACACTTACACGTGGAAAGGTTTTGTCATTGTTGCACCCACTATTCTGCAAGACTTTGCAAAACAATAGGATAAGAAGAGATGATGAAATTATTAGCTATGTAATTATGAGAATCATATATTGTAACTGCAAAGTGTTAATGATGGGAGGTAAAAGCATAACGGTACGTTTACGTTTCCCTCCAGTGAATACGCCACATTCTAGTAACTACATTTCCTTAAAAGGAAGCCCCAAAAAAAAACAAACAAAAAAAAAAACCTTGTGCTTTTATGGTTATCTCTCAGGCCATTAATATCTAACCTGTATGCCTCAAATGGCCTAGCAATATATGTAAAGTCTGCTGAGGTAGTTTTCACTGTGCTGTGTGAATTATTCCCTGTACATGTAATGTTTAACATCTAAATAAGTCACAATGAATGAGCAAGCAAGGCTGTGTTACGCCCTGGCCTAGGGCTGAACATAAGGAGAACATAATAAAGACGACGACTTCCCCTCTTCCCAGAACCCAGAGATGACCAGCTTCACAGATCTAAGCACTCTTACATCATATTATATTTTAACTATCGAGCAGAGTGAAAAGTGCAGTTTGCCGTCTCTATGGGGTAGGTCCAACCAAAATAAACAAAACCCAACATTAACACCCTGTTTTAACTTAAAAAATAAAACAGACCCATTTTCATTCAACTTCCCAAAAAAGGAAAAACAGAAGAGATATAAAAACAAAAAGACTAACCCCATCCCTCCAACAAAGGGGCTTGCAGCACACACACACAAAAAAAAAAAAACACAAAACAAGCTGACAACTGGAGGTAAGAAAAAAGAAAAACCCCAGCTAGAGGGGAGTCATCGGCCTTTAACAGCCCTGTTCTAGGGAAGCAACCAATCACCACCTGAGAAACAGATACACTCGCTCCAATCATACACAGCTTTCTCCACCTGAGGTCTGAACAAGAGGAGGCTACACCCACTCTCTCTCTCACACACACACACACACACACACGGGCTCACACACATATTCACAGAGGAGAGAACAGGGGTATGACAGAGCAAACGTTACCCATCTATGTTGACTTTATTTCTGTTTACAGTTGGAAATAAACAATTAAAACCAGAACGGTCTCTGAAATAAGCTGTTTGTTACCTTTTGTAAAATGTTTCCAGCATTCCTTTACAACAAGCCTGGCTGAAACTACTTTGAATCATTTGACATACAGAAAATGCCCATTCACTTTAATACAGATAGTTTCTGTAATCTCTCATAGCATCTGTTGATGTTAACCAATATAAATATACTGTAAAAGCTTCGACAAAAATACATTCACATAAGCTGAAGGAATCACCAAAAGCTGCCACTCGAATAAACAAATGAACAGGCTAATTATCTTTATCTATGGTAGGACTTTAGGATGTGTATTCATATAATAGAAATGTGTAAATGTGTGTTTTACAGGTAGGGGGATTTCCATGAGGAATTCATGTTTTCCCACCTTAACAGGGGATGTCAGGCATCATCAGACAGTGTAAACAGCAACACCCATGGATCTGGGCAACACTCATGAGTCTTGCTCAAGGACACTTCAGCGGGGAGGCTTGCTGTCATGGGGACTGTCCTTCCACAGGAGATCTGTGCAGATGGGCTTGCAACAAACTGCTTCAGAAATTAAAAAGCAGCACAACTAATAAACCATTAAGTATTCCCAAATAAGATAAAGAAACAAAGTAATAATTTGACAATAAAAATAAACACCACCCCCCCCAAAAAATCACAAATCAAACCACCACAGAATATGCCAACTCACAGCTCATTGAAGGAAAATGTAACTCCTGATTTCAGAAAGCAAGGTATTAGTCAGCAACTGAAAAATCAGCCACAAAAAGTACAAACGTGTTCAGTCAGCCATGTTGGTCAGGTCAACCTGAGAACGTTAGACATGCACTTCTTTGTATCTGCAGTGAGATTACAGATATACTTGAACGCTTTAAATGGGCAACAGTGGTAGTTTAACATGTTTCACATATTGCTGCTTTCTAAAAGCTTTCTTTTTTTTTAACATTCCAGGCAGGAACGAGTAATAAGTAAAAGCAGAGATGTTGTCAGTTTCATGTTGATTCCTCTGCAAGGAATGGAAAAATGGCTGCATCTAAGGTAACGGAAACACATTCAGAAGTATTCATCTTGTTTACACCCTTGAAAATAGTTAAATGTAAAGCACATGCCATTTGTACCAAAAGAAATGAAACACTAGCCAAGTCTTTGAAGTGTGCTGTGCTACACAGTAGAAGTCCATTAGAAGTCAAAATAAAATTTTATAATTAAATAACTAAATATATTCAAGTATTATCATCCCATTAACTTCATAGTTACCCTCCTGACCGAATCCTTCACCACAATTTATGTTGCTCTTATAACATGATTAAACATAATGCACTATATCCACTCACAACACTCTCATTGTGCTAATGATGAATTATTATGAGTATCACTTCAAGGAAGTGTAAACTTCATGCCCAGTAAAACCTTGTATAAAAATAAGTACATCAATAGTAAAAATAAGGAAGACAAATGTGTCATTGGTTAGAGACTAATGGACCTATTGCACTGATAATTAAATCAATATTCACATCAAATGGTTTGGTTTTAATCTCTGCCCTTGTACATTCCTTGGTCTTTTCTATTGTTCCCCAGTTAACCTCTTAGTCATTTGTCCCCATGTATAGAATCATTTGTTAGTAAAGATTTTCACGGAAAAAAAGGCCCAGTAACATCTTAGCACTATGCTACCAGTGTTTTTGTTAATTTGCTTCATCAAGAAATCTATTTGATGCCAGACCAGCTGTGGAGATAGGAGGTCCAGCCCGAGCCTCGTGACCCGGACCCCTCTTCCTCACCTGCACAAAGGAGAACCAAAAACACCTGGTTTGAATTTATAAAAGCATTTTGTATAGTACATCTATACAACCTGGGGACACATAAAAAGGGATCTGTGTATATGAATGGCATAAGACATGAATTATTATTTGTGTGTGTGTAATAGTTATTGCATGATAAACACAATGTATTTGGATTTGTGAGTTATTAGGATTTTGAGATTTATTATGCTGCTAAAATGCACACTGTATACTCTGTGTGTGTGTGTGTGTGTGTGTGTGCACGCATGCACTTTCAGTATTATTGTGTCTATGTCTGTATGATGTTACTATTTGGAAACATCACACAGCCACAGTTACAATACAACAGCAACAAGTTCCACCTGCTGGGCTGCATGCTCAGTAAATCAAATGCAAACATTTATATTGAATATATTAGAGCAGAACCATTATCATTAAAACAATATTAATGTGACAAAAGGTCAGCTTTTATGCATCTTAGTCCAAACAATATTAATGTGACAAAAGGTCAGTTTTTATGCATCTTAGTCCCTGTTTAAATTATATTTTAAGTGTGTTTTAGTTAATCAGTTAAATAATACACTGCCTTAATATGACGGTGCTGCATATTTGTTGGGAAATTCTGATACACTACACAGAGTTTGTTATGAGATGCTAGCATTATGTACTTGTATGCTTCAAATTTGTAAATACTGTTCACCTAGCACATACTCTACCTTGTGCAATTGCAGCCAGTTTGCTCTTCTCCTCTGGACTAAGCTGCAGCATGGTGTGAATAACAGGCAGGAGCGCCTGCCTCTCGCTGCCAGATCGCAGGAAAATGAACTGCAGCAGGACATTCTTCAGATACTCGAGATTGGCCACACTCTTCTCCCTCTCCTGGTTTCGCTCTAGGCGACGCACTTCACTCTTCAACAACTAGCAAGCAAGTGGAAAGTATTATTAAATCTAGAAACCCCAAGATTTGACAATGTCATTGCATCTGTATTTCTCTTCAGTGCCAATTTGTGACATATTAAAATATCTGCTGTGAAGATACAGGTAAGCAACAGGCTAAGGGGGATGCAATGTGCCTTAATACAAGAGAAACAAAAAACTTAAATTTATTTTTGATAGAGAAAACAAATTAAAGACCCTTCCTTTGTTTACCAAACCATTTTCTTTACCGCTAGAAAGTAAACTCGTTGTACAGGGATTGCGTTACTCCTTTTGACGGGTTAAACTTAATTTTGATCACGTCTATTTTCCGTAGTAAAGCATCGTACGTATATACGTCACAACTATGGCGGCGCTCTTTAGAAGGACAGAACACGGAAGCATTAAAAAGCTGGTCATGTTATCGATTTCTTAATTTGCATAATTTTAGTTGTCTGTCAGCTAAATGTAAAAATATTTAAACAATTTCAACACCGTGAAAGATGGGGTTAGAGCGCCTGCTTTGTGGGGCGCTGGAGTTCTACTCCAGACAATTTCGACTTGTTAATTTTCAGCACAAAGTCAGTGTCTTTCGAAATGCGTCCATGTGGGCACAGACTTCGCCGAGCAGCGGCGGGTCCAACCGAGTTTCACTTTTTTCTGAACTGTGCAATAAGATATCCGTCCACACACGCCGCCTCGGTGCCGCTCACAGACAGCTGGCAGCACGCCGCAGTCTCTCCACCTCCGCCCAGCCCGTCAAAGATGTCACCCTGTTCGAGCACGACAGGACCCGCTTCATGAGGCTTCTGGTGGTCTGCTGTGGTGGACAGTTTGTCTTCTGGACATACATGGCTCACTTTGCCTACACCGGGCTCAGAGACACGAGAGGTGCTTCAGAAAAAGGGGAAATCAAGGCGTCCACCACCGGGCTGGTTGGGATGTGGCGTTTTGATATGAACCTGGGGTCAAACGCCTGGAGGTACGGCTTCACGATGGGATGCCTGGCAGTAGGAGCAGCGATCGTTGGGCTTGGGACTCTGTTTTGCCGTCGCTCTGTAGGTCGAGTGGTTTTACATCGAGGGGGTAGGATGGTGACAGTTTCTACACAATCACCTTTGGGACCAGGCCGAGGCCAGAGAATAACAGTGCCACTGTCCCAGGTAACCTGTTACGCCCACAGACAGGAGTCCCCCGTATTTATCCCTCTCCGAGTGAAAGGATACAGGCTCTACTTTCTTCTGGACAAAGAAGGGACGATAAACAACGCAAGGCTGTTTGATATCACTGTTGGGGCCTATAGGTCAATTTAGGTTGGGTTTCCATAAGTGTGTTGGGCACCAATACCTAATGTAAAACTGGTCAACAGATGAGAGTTTACATAAATGGCCTGCCAGCGTCATCTTGATTGTATCTCTTCATTGAAATAAAATCAAAAACATGGACTGGTTCAGGTTAATTCATTACTAGTGTCACATAGTATCCTGTTAACAGTCTAGAGCTGAAACAGTCAGTTGATTGACAAAAAAATTAACCTGCAACTCTGGACAAACACTGCCAAACACTGTTGCAGCTTCCCAACAGTAAACATTTGCTGCCTTACTCTGTCTTATGTAATGATATATATACATACAGTGATCTGCTCCATAAGAACAGCATTGGTGGCCTCAGTTTCATGAAGCAGGCTGTTCATATGCTCCATGCTACGTGTGGCTGTCATCAGCTTTTGACTAAGCTCTTCTTTGGTAAGCTCCACTGTCCACACAAATGGCTCTAGAGACAAAACCAGACATTCATGGGCATAGAAGTCAAGTGTGTGCATCATGTAGTCATGTCTTATTTTTTATGCAGCATAGACGATTATGTGAATCACAGATGTAAGCCAGTGTCATAAATAAATAAAAATAAGGAGTGTTTCTGAAATATTCAAAGACTTTACTATCATCCTGCTACAAAAATAGACAAGAGCACATGTACCTCCGCCAAGGCACAACATTCACTCATGCAAACTGGTGCCTTGTGAAAAATGAGATCTAGAACAATAAAATGTGTACTAAAATCAGTGATCTGGATCATTTTTTAGGGTATGATAAACCGTTATACTGTGCATCTTTCAGTGTTCAGGGTTCTATCTTCATTATAGGCCAAGTTATGACAAAAAAAAAGCTTTAAATTGGGTTTTTAACGTTAACTTTAAATGGCTGTCAGATCTGGATGACATTTGGTCTGGTGATAGACCTCGACCCTACAGGTGTGCTAAATTTCAAATGAGTTCTATAAGTTTTCACAGAGATGTTTTTTGTCCCATGTTAAATATGGGAATTTTTTTTTTATGTGATTTTTTTTTTTTCATTATTTTTTTGTGACCTTGACCTTTGACCCTTTTCAGCCTAGGGTTGTCTCCACCCATGTCTGTACCAAGTATGCTGACGATCCATCCAGGCATTTGTCTGTAATCCCGCTAACCAACACACACACACACACACACACACACACACAGAACCAAAAATATAATCTCCTTGGCGGAGGTAATGAATTACTAGATAAATAACAATCCCACAGGTAAGATATATGAAGTATTGTACTTGGTGCTTTTATAAACTGAACTAATATTATGGGTGTACCTCTGCTGTTAAACACACCTTGCTTGGGGTCCGGAGATGTGAGAAGGTGCTCCAGAGAGGGGAGGGGTGTAAGTGCAGGAGAGGGGCTCTCATTCTCAGTGGTCTCCATACCCTCACCCTCCTCCCTCGCCATAGACTGGAGGTCACTGAAGACCACTAGTCCCAGCCCTGCCTGGTTCTTATCTGTGTTTCTGCGCTGAGGGTCTGATGCAAGAGACTTACGGCCAGACTGACCAGATGCTGCACCTAAAAGGTTGTGTAAGTTTGGGAAAAGAACATTTTTTCTACATCATTTTTAGAAGATTCATGCATATTAGAGGAAGAGGTTAAACAACAAAACACTTGATTTTGAAAGTACAATTATACTGAGCTAAGGGTTGGCTACATAACCTGGGATTAACTATAAAGATGGATAAAATTACAGCTCATTTTACAATTCAGCACACATAATGTGTGCATTTGATCCTACTCTGATGACAGTAACTAACTTGAGTTCACCATGACATCTGATACTGCTTCACTGTGACATGAGGGGGCACCAGATACACTGGTATTAACCAGATCAGATGGCATAAACACTGACAACTGTGAAAAGAAGGATAAGGGGCCTGAGAGAGAGGGTGGACAAAAGATGAGATTATGATTAATGGACCTGAAACTGAACCAAGAGGCCAGACTCCTAACCAATTCCCTCAGCTTCCCACCTCCAGTCTTCTGCCTCTCCCCATGCAGCTGAATAATAGGAGCAAGGTAATCAAATCCTACTTCGGCCAGGTTACATTGTCTAATACATGATGTGTATGTACATGTTACCTTAGCCATAATGGCCCGAAACCAAGTGCAAGCGAAAACTTGCTGTAATCATGCAAGTACCTGATCACATGAAAAACATCTTTAGTCTATTGTGTGTACCATCCCTACTTCTTATCCTGCTCCTGCCACAACATGTCTTGTTATATAGAGCTTTAGGAGAGCTGCAGATAAATACTGAGCACAGTCTCTGCCAAGCCACAAGAGTCTGGAACACAGCAGCAGAAAAAGCTACAGCCTCGGTCCATTTCTAAGACGGAAATAATATTTGTAGTTTTTGTTAATGTACTGTTTGCTTGTTTAGATAAAATGACACTAAACATATTTTACAGTTTGTTACACAGTAAAAAACTGTCCAGAGGCCAGGAGTTTTATGACCCGCCTGCTCATATGGCCAGTAAAGCACACTAACGGTGAACCCTTCTGTGTTTTACCTGCCATTAAATCCCAAAATAGCAGTAAAAAGACTCAAATATGACACTTAATAAAGGCTAAAACTGGCCCCATATATCAGACTAATCCTGGTGTGCACGTGTGAGTCACTAATGAGGAGTCTCTCCAGATGCCACAGCAAGCTGTTTGCCACACTGAGGAGCAAGGCTCAGGAACCGCGCCAACACCTGGCCACATTGAAGTGACAGCGAAAAAACACATGTGCACACACACACTTGCCTTATAACTGTGTGTGTGTGTTTGCTATATGACTCCAAAGGGCAGTGGTGTGAGAGCTAATGGATGAGTTTCCACTGTTCTTACTGACAGACACACCAGTTGTCCCTCTCTGACAGAAGAAGGCAGTAAACAAGTTAGAAAACATTAGCATTCAACATTTTGATGGGTCTCTCTATGCGATATCATTTATTCACTAGTCCTGTCTACTGCTCTAAGTTTGAAATGCAGTCACTTGTTGGATCGTTCTGTTGCTTTGTAATATACTGGATGTATAATGTCGCCCCACCGTATTCTACTGCTACTTTATGTACAGGATCAGGTCTGTTCTATTCAAAAGGCTTAAGGCTTTAATTCGCTTCAGTGCTTACTGTTCTGGTTCTGCAGGTTGAAGCGCTGCTCCTCAACACGTGCCAGCTGGCCCTGCAGTGTCTCCACAGTGGCTCGGTGGTCATCCTGCAGCTTCCTCAGCTGCTCCCTGTAGGCCTGACGCTGGGCCTCCACCTGGGAAGACAGGTCAGCCTGAGCCTGGGTCAGCTCTGACCGCAAAGCCACGTTCTCTGACTGTACTGACAGCAGCCTAAAGGTGAAGACAGAGTGGGAGAAAACTGAAGAGTTTAAAGACTGCTCATCTAGTAGAGAACCAGTAGGAGAGGCATCTGACAGACAGCTATTTGCCAGTTCCAATCAGGTGTTCCCAGCATGTGTGCCTGTGTCTCATGATTGTAAAAACACATCAGCAGAAGAAATGTCAGATTGAAAAGACACAACAAAAGAGGGGCATGAAGGGAATTTCAGAAACATACAATATGTCAACAATGCACTGTCTGGAAAATTTCTGACATGACAGCATCAAATAAAACCAAACCAGTCAAGCCAGCTCACCTCTCACGGAGCTCTGCCTCCTTGCTAATAGTTTCTTGGAGGATCTTGTTGTGTCTCTCCAGCAGAGTATCGTGCTCTGTCTGGAGCTGCTGCAGCTCTGCTGCGCTGCTCTGGAGGCTCTGCTGGCCCTCTGCCAGCCTGGTCCTCAGCTGTTCTACCTGACTGGACAACTGCTCCCTACCAGACGACACATCACATTCATTACACTCATATCGCTCCGACAGTGTTTACCGACACATACTGCTAACCAGTGTTAACTTTAATATGGATCAAGTGAGTTTCTACCTGTGATTTATTTATATCAACACCAAAATTCCTTTAGTGTCCTGTATTTTGCCCACCTCTGTAGATATCTTATGGAAAGACTAAGCTGTTTTATCAAACCTAATCCAGCACAGATTTTGCAAAGGCCTTTTCCTTGTGTTACACAATATTCAATAGCATCAGTTTTTCTATAGTTTTAAAACATTTCTTACCATGTCTTTACACAACTAACTATTATGTCAGTCTGCATTTAGCTACTTGTCTTGCCACGTATCTGTCAGCGTGTTTCATAGATTTGATGCAGCATCAGAGTTTGTCTACAGGGTGACCAGTGTCTTAACAGCAGTCCTGCTTATACACTTCTCAGTTTTAAACAGTACAGCAGGACACTGACAGGGTCACAGTTCCCCTACTGTACAACCAAAATGAATGTGAACACTCAAGTGTGCTGGAGTACAGAGCCAGCACAACAAAAACATGTTGCTGTCCAGGTTGCATTAACACTAACAGGACACAGGACACAGTTCACAGCCATGCTTTCTGACTGCCTCCCTGTATATTCTTTTGCATATCATTTTCTTACAGGTGCTGTCCTTACCTCTCTAGTTTGCCAAAGTCTCCTTCACTCTGAGTGGTGGTTTTGCTCTTCTGCTGTTTGAGCACATTGTGAACTCGCACCTTGTAATTCTCAAACTCTTTTGTTGTTGCCATGAGCTCAGTCTGGAATCAACACAAAGAGATACACAGCAAATGACACAGCATGTTACCTGTAGATTTATCTTTGCAGCTCTTTCAGAAGAGGATGTCAAACTGCAAGAGTCAAACAGGCCGTAACAGATGAGCAGATCTGCGGGTGTCATTTCTGTTGGACACTTAATGATTTTTAACCTCATTTTGATGCTAATGCTCCTAAATATTCCTCACGACATGGTATTTTTTTGACAGAATGAGAAAACAGCTGTGAAAATAAATTGGACAGTGCCCAAAAGCCCTGTGTAATTTTTTTTCACTGATGATGATGCTCCACTGAATCATACCCCCATTGTAGAGTTTTCTCTCTCTCTCTGAAAAAATAAAACACTATTATATAAATGCCTTAAGTAAATAAAAAGTAGCATTAAATTTAACATGAAAACACTGTGTGCAATACCCGTCATGCACAAATCTCTCCTAGCATTTGCACACTGATCACACATTTGGATAAATATGAATAAAATGTTCTTAACCCCAAGCTTTGTGGAAAAAAACGCCTGTCATACTAGTACCAAAACAGGAAGTTGATAAATAGATTAGTGGTCTGACAAAAACAGCTGTGATCATTTATTATGTCATTCATTAAGCACAAACAATCATCTGTGTCATGTTATGAACAGGAGAATTGGCTGATTCTCAGTTTTTAACTGCAGTAAATGAAATAGAATTGGATGTTGCACTGTTAGACACACACACAAAACAATTACAAGTTGTCATCTTGGGCAATCTGAAACTAATAATAAACTGAAAATACTAAACTATTATTATTATTATTACCTATTTCATTATAAGTGAAGCCTGATTGATAGATTATGGCAGAACACAAAATGCTTCATTTAGAGGTTCATCTTTTTGTTTTACCATCTAGCAGCATTTCAGCGGTTATATTTATGAGCTCTTTGACTCATCGGACCATTTTTAGTTCTCCAAAATCCGTGTTATTGAGCTGTGGAGGAATGGATGAGGACAGCATCTCAAACACTAATGCTGGTGTGCTCTTGAGCAACTCACATCATATCTACCCTACTCTGGTGGATCTGTTGAGTGGCCACTGTGAGTGTGTCTGTATTCTATTTGTGTGGAGGAAGGCTAGTTGAACCTGAACAAACAGCGTGTACCTGAGCAGTGTCTCTCTCCTGCTGCAGGCTGTTGATATGTTGCTGCAGGGAGCTGCTGGTTCGTTGTTGCTTTTCCAGTGCAGACCTCAGCTGCTCTTGCAGACGATGGCACTCGGCCGTCAGCTCACACACCTCAATCTAATCACATAAACACACACACACTTTCTACGTGACTTATGTATGACCAACTTGTTGGCTTATTATATATTTAATGAAAATGGACAGCTGAGAGATTTTGCTGTCCAGTGCTCCCTTTGTTACCTTGGAGCTTTCTAGCTGCTGTTGGTTAGCCTCCATTTCTCCTTTTAGAGAGGCCTGCACCATCATGAGGGAGCTCTCCTGCACTCATGCACACACACATTCATAGGGAGACACACAAAATGAAAATATAAATACATAACCACACGTATGCAAATACATCAGCATTCAAATGAGTAACTCTTCCCGACCTCTTCGAGGTCTCCTCTATAATACTTTCCACACCTGAATGCATAACACTATTTACATTCATCAGGCAGTAATGTTACAAACAGTAAATAAATACACACATGCACACATACCTGTTTCTTGGCATCGGCCAAGTCCTTTTTTGTTTTCACCAGCAACTGTTTAATCTTGGAGGTCTTCTCCTCCCCCTGGTCCAGCTGAGACTTCAGAGACTCTGGAGACAGACATACACAGGCACATGTTCATAACACACACACATGAAAATAGCCGAAATTCTTACTGTAGAGTTTTTATTTAATGATTTGTGGAATCATGCTGTAAACTGTGTGATTAAATCTGCTATGTTTTTATTATCATGCAAATACAAAATAACTCTACAGTGCAACATAAAAAGAATCTGCTGAGGTATCGTTCAATATGTAACTGAGTGAGTGTAAATGTGAACATGTCAGGATACCGATTTCCTCTTTGAGCATTTCTTCTTTCTGGGTGTGTGTGTTTATCTGGGCCTTTAAGTCCTCCACACTCTCATCTCTCTCTAAGAGTTTGGTGTTGAGTTCTTTCACCAGACGCTCATAGTCAGCCATCTCCATGCCGAGCAGTGAGTTCTGCTGCGCCTCCTAGAGGCAGAATCAACATGATACATTATTTGAGGGAGCAAAGCGAAAACATCAAGTCAGTCAGGTCAGCTGTCTCAAACCTCACAACAAAGCCAGACCTCCTGGCAGCTTCAATTTTCACTGCTCTGCTATATAGGTTTCCACTAAAGGAAAACCAACAGCAGTTCATGCGCTGTGGGCTAGAGTTGCTCTGCTCCTCTCTGAGAAGTGCTGCTGTGGCTGCAGGCCGGTCATTGCCAGGACAGTTGCTTGACAAAACAGACCCAGACACACACTAGTTTCTAAAATGCATTTGTGTGTTTGAGGGTGTGTACCTTGCGTAGCTGCTCCAGCTGCTGAGCAGTGTGCTGAGACTGCTGCTGTTGCCTGTGGAGCTGGGCAGTCAGCTCTTCTACCTCCTTTGTTGCAGTTGTCAAGTCCTGGAGAGGCAAGGAAGAAAACATACGCATGGACACATAGTGGCTTTCAGTCAGCCAAAAGCCTACTGCTGAGTTCATATTGTGAAATGAATGCATTATGATGTGAAAACACTTATTTGTAATATAAGAATATAAATAAATAAAATGCTTTGAACCATGTTTCACTCACTCGCATGTGGTTCTACTACAGGATTAGCTAAAGTACATAAAGGAGAGCTGAGGCTGGCTTGACTTCGAGCAATACACAAGAATAAAACATAACATTTATGTCTCATATTTTCTACCTTGATCTTCTGTTCTTTCATAGTTCTCTCAGCCAGAAGGTCTCTGTCCAGACTGGCTGACTGTCTTTGCAGCTCTTGGTTCTGGGCTTCCAGCTGCCTGACCATGGCCCTTATGGTCTCCAAACTGGCCAGTAGGTCCTCCTTCTCACTGCTTAGTGCCTCATTCTGTAAAAGCATAAATACTCCAGATTACATGTGCAAATGAAAATTTACCAGGAATATGGCACTACCCAAACCACATTAACCTGTAACTTAACAATAAATTGTGAAATGTTGATGGGTGCTATCCACAGAGGCACAGCTTGACTCCAATATCCTCAAGTAATCAAGTGAAAAAAAAATCTCTGCTAATCCTGATTTACACAGATAAACATACAAGAGCATGTTCAACTAAGAATTCTTTTGGTGAAGTTCATTGATCCTTCACCTTTAAGGAATTGCAGGGTGCTGGTAACTAAAAAACTAATATGTTATTTGTATTTTGTTAACATTTAGTTCACTAAATCAGTAAGATTTGGTGATTTTACTATGCTACTTTCTATGGAATATTACTGATTTCTGTATGGGTGGAGAATACTCTATGATCTTTTACAATCCCACTGGACACAAAAAAAGGCTGTCTCACTTAAATCATAAAACATCTCAAGGCTTTCCCTTTAAAATGCACCTGCAGACAAATGCATCAAGCCTGTATGAATGCACATGACACATCTGAAAGTCATTCGTGCAAATCTGACAGCAGCGGGCTCGGTGGGCTTTCTCTGCAAGGACCACTGAATGGCAGCTGCAGCAGCCACCTCCCATCATCTGTCAGCGAAACACTGAGACTATGATTGGTAAACAGAGATGTCCAGACATACCCTGAGATCCCCGACTAGCTTCCCAGGCTCCCTGCTCCTCCTGAGACCCATGAGCCCACACAAGAATAAACCTGCTTCAGAAAACTGTGCTGCACTAGCACACAGCAGATGGAAGCTATACTCTGCTCCATTTACCTGCCTGTTGTTCTCTCATTGGAAAGAGACAGTTATGAGCATGGGGAGAGGAGCACATATAAACACAGTTTCTCCGCAGCTCACCCAGTCACATCTGACAGGCTATCTGTGGGTGCTGGGCTGTCAAGCATTGGTGTGTAAAATGTTGCTGGCTAAAATGAGTCGCTGTAAATCAGACAGAAACTAACTGAGTTATGCGATGAGTATTGGAGAAATGTATTGCAGGACAAAGTGATACCGCTTAGATTTATTGGTGGGTGAGAGCAATTTGTGTGTTTGTTAGTGGTAATGTGTGGGTGTGTGTATGATTGACTGTGTATCTGTGTTACCTGTGTGGCAGCACTGCTGAGTCGTTTGGTCAGCTCAGCAATCTGTCTCTCTGCAGCCTCCACCTTCTCTCGCTCCTTATCCAGTTGCTCTGTTTGCTTGTCGTAATCTATCTGCAAGTTCTACACACGCACATCCACACATATATATATCCTTCATTACTAGAAGCCAGCTGAACAGCTCCTTGAAGGTAAACACCAGGCATCTCAAATATGAGCTGCATTTACATCTGAGTATAGGCAAAATTCTCATTAGACACAACAGAGTGGCTTCTTCACTAATGGTGGCTCAGTCATAAAGCACAGTGCAGTCTGGGGGCTGTTTATAGAGACCACTGGGACTAACATCACACACAAAATGTGTTTTGAAGAGCGAGCACTTCCATTTGCCAATTAGTAACATATTAGGAATGGAATCAATTGAATGATCAAAACTCAGTTTTATTTGGGGACAGGTTAAATTGTGTTTTTATTTTGAAGAAAATCTAATGATGTAAATTAGAAAAGCTGGGTTGAACCGTACCCTCTCACCCAGGCTTATAGAGGACTGGTAGAGAGCATCCTCACCACTGGCATCACTGTTTGGTATGGTAACAATACACAGGTAGAGAGGAAGGCTCTTCAAAGAGTTATAAAGACTGCAGAGAGGATCATTGGGACTAAACTCCCTGCTATGGACATACTATACACACAGCACTGTCGTAATCTATCTGTCTGTCGTAATCTATCTGTCGTAATCAGAGACTCACTCCACCCAGCTCACACCCTGTTCAGACACAAAACTGCACCTACAGCGGACAGTATCATCACACACAAAACAAGACTTCACAACAGATTTTTCCCTGCCACAGTAAGACTGATGGCAAATACAAAAATGTGAGAAACATGTGCAATAACCCCTCATTACCTCACTAGGTGAAATACCATATCCAACTCCACTATGTGAAATACTATGTACAATATTTGAAGTTCACCATCTCATCCATTATCTTATTTTTTGTATTGCATTTTTATTTTGAATGTGTTTTTATACTATGTCACTCTTACGTAACTTTATTTTGAGACTAGGTGTTCTTTTCTGGCTTTTAACTCTTTACCTGACTCCAAGAGAGCTGCACAAGAATTCCTATATGTCTAGACTGTCTGTTTATGCATAAATGACAAATAAAAATCTTGAGTCTTGAGTAAATTCTTCATCAGAAGAAGGGACATCAAATACACCTGGATATGCCTGCAGTTCTGCCATTTATGCAAACACTGCACTGTGTTGTCTATGTTCAGACACATCAACCAGTAGGCAATACTGATTACTGGTGCTCTATTACAAAACCAATATACAATACATTTATTTATAGTAAACTATGCATCCCTACTTACATGTTATGCTAAATTAAACTCAACTTCTTAGATGCTTCTGTAAAATGGAAAACAAGAGAACTTAGCAGTCTCCTACCTTGTAGCCTTCAGCAGCATGGATGATATCTTTCATAGAGTTGTTCACTTTCTCCCTCTCAGCTTTCAGTGATTCTACTTCTTCCTTGAGTGCTGCAGCCTGGGAAAAGATAACTAATAAATTCAGCTGTATATAATCACTAATCTGAATAAAAGTTTGCATTTCAATTGCAATTCTTATTTTGTAGTGTGTTTCTGTTCCCTGCTAATTGTTTAAATAACTACTGTAACATTTCTGGTAAATTTACTTTTTCATTTAAATGTTATGTTGATGTTGTCAAATAACAAACCAACATTTACAGGTTAGACATGCCATTCTTCACTCTACCTCTTTCTTACTGATGTCCAGTTCCTTCTTTGCTTTGACTGCAACTGCCTTGATTTTGTTCATCTTCTCTTCCTTTCCTTTGTTTTCTTTCTCCAGGAGACCTGTAGCAAGCAGAAGTTATAAAGCTCTAAATTGTAGTCTGAGATTAAAAGAAAAGCAAGCAAATTAAAGGACCATGTATTTAGTAAAACAAATTGTTTATGACAGTTGGAAATATTAGTTTATTCTACTAATTAACACAGACAATGGTCACCTTCATACCTATTTTCTTTGTGATCTCATTGGCTGTATTTTCCTCAGAGGAAGCACACTGGGAAACAGCCTCCTGAGAGAGTAACAGAAAAAAGGATGTGACAATTTCCGACTTTCGAAATTCCCAGTATTAGACACTTCTGATGCAGACAATGAAAGATAGTTAATCACAATTAATTTTATATATATAATTTTTTGGGGGGATTGACACTATTCTAAGATGAACCTGATACATAATGAGCTCCGGTCACCTGGAGAGCATCCACCTCGTTTCTCAGTTGAGATATGAGGGAGTCTTTCTCTGTCAGCTGCTCCCTGAACTCTCTTCTCTCTATCTCCATCTTCTCCATCTCTGCTCCCATTTCCCCTTTCTCCTCCTCTTCTCTCTCTTGAGTCATCAGAGAAATTTGGGCTTGCAGTTTCATGTTCTCATCCTTAATCTTCTCACTGACTGACTTCATGTCCTGCAGATCTTTCTGCAGACCTTCGGTATCCTGCACCACCTCCTCCAGGTTGGCTTTCAACATGCTCCTTTCCTGTTCCAGGTCTTTGATGTGGGCTTGGAGCTCTTTTTGCACCTCCTCTACTCTACTCTCTCCATGAACCTCTTCAAGCCTACTCCTCAAAAGAGTCCTCTCCTTTTCCAACTCTTCTATGCATTCTCGGAGCTCCTCAGTCTCTTTGGTGTATTTTTTAAGCGCTTCAGACTGATTTTCCTCCAGAGCTCTGAAGGAGGTGCGAGCCTGTTCTGCCTCCTCTGCCAATGAATTTATCTTCACCTCTAGGTGATGCTTTTCAGACAACTCCTTCTCCAGATGAGCCTCCAGGTCTGCTAGGTTGGAACCCAAAGCCTCCCTCTCTTCATGGGCTTTGGAAAGCTCTGACAATGTGTCTTCCAGTTTCTGACAGAGGTCAGCCTTTTCTATGGAGAGCTCTTTGATAGACAGCTCTAAAGCAGAAACCGACTCCTCCCTTCTTTCCATCTGCTCTTTCAAGTTCTGTTGCTCTTTCTCAAACTTTTCCCTTTCATCTTTTAGCTGTTGCACTTCATTCTGCTTCTCTTCTTCCAAGACTTGCAGGTCCTTCTCTTTCTTCTCTCTCAGCAAAAGTGTCTCTCTTGCTCTGTCATCTTCCACCTTTTGCATTTCCTCGTCCCGAAGTTGAAGCATAGAGTGTATTTTGTCTCGCTCTTCAGTCAGTGTGTTCACCAACTCTTTAAGGTCTTGAGTCATATTTTCACTCATCTGCAGTTTGGAGAGGACCTCCTCATTCTGGCTGCTCATTTCCTCTACAGATTGCTTCAGGCCACAGGCTAAAGCTGTTTGTTCCTCCACAGATGCCTGGAGTTTCTGGTTCTCACCTGTGGAACCTTCAAGCTTCAGCTTCAGGTCCTCCATGTTCTCCTCCAGTGTGGTTTTTTCCTGTGTAACCTCTTTGACCCTTTTCAACAGTCCATCTCTCTCCTGGCTGAGTTGTTCAATCTTTTCTTGGAGTTCTTGTACAGTATTAGTCCCCTGCTCCTTCATGGCTTTGTACTGAAGAACAAAATTGTTTGTCTTCTCATTCAGTTCTGTTTCCACACCTTGAAGTATGTTCCTCATCTGCTGACACTCAGCCAAGGCAGAGTCTCTCTGTCCGATTAAGGTCTCACACTGAACCCTGAGCTCCTGGTTCAGCTTCTGCTGCTCCTCTGGATTCAAAGAATTTTGGTCTTGGACCGGACTGACTGCTGACTCTTTGATTTCTTCACTGACCTCTTGCTGGTCAGGGTCAGGGTCAGCAGGGGCACTGTCCCTGGTCATCTGCAGCTCATTGATTTTGAATTCTAGCTCTTCCCTTTCCGTCTGATACTCCTCCTTGGCCCTCTCCAGCTCTGTCTCTAGCTCCCCCTTCACATTACTGAGCAGGGTGAGCTCATCCTGTAACATGGTGTTCTGGGCTTGAAGATCTTCCAAAGCTGCTTTCAGTCTTCTGATCTCTGTCCCCTCCCCATCACCATGGCTGGAGTCACCCTGACTGAGACCAGATAGCTTCAGCATTTTGGCGATCCCTGAGCCACGAGCAGACTCCTCATCTTCCTCTTGCACATCCTGCAGGTAGCTTTCTGGGAAAACAATGATAAGGTAAACTCAAAACATCATTCAGATTTTCCTCTAAACAGTTATTTAAATAATCAGTTATACTATGGAAAGAAGTATTAACATAGCATGCTGGTGCTGAGCAACAGCTACCAATAAGTAACTTCTCCTTTAACATAGCTTTAAAAAAACAAAACAAAAACAGAAAAAAATCACTAAGGTTTAAGAGATAAGGTTTAATTAAAGCATTTACTCTCAGCCCAAATTCTGCTTTCACTCTGCTGCTGTGAATACAATGCGTTAATGATTTAACAAATAAAACTGCCTACTGGAAACACTAAGTGCCCTTCACTGTAATAAAAAACCTGTGGTCTACATCCTTTTCTCTGTTTTTAAGTAGAGTGTTGCTTTACCTTTGAGAGCAAGCTGCTCTGTCAGCTCCTCCTGGAGCAATAGGAGACGCTCCCTCTCGATCTCACAGTCCTCCTCCAGAGCCCGCATTTCCTCCTCATGCTGCAGACTCTTCTGAGCCAGCTCGTCCTTCAGGTTCTCCACCTCCTGCTGGGCTTCTGTCAACTCCCTTTGGTGGCTCTCCTGTAGCTTCCTAATATCCTGGGATTTTTGCTCACAGATCGCTTCCAGTTCAGCTTGCAGGGTTTCCAGTTGAGCTTCCAAACAATGGCGGGCTTCCTCTGCGCTCTCTCTTCTACTGGCGTCTTCAGCTTGACGCTCCTTCTCTTTTTCACTCTCCCGCTCTCTGTCACTCTCTTCACGCTCCTTCAGTAATTTCTGGAAATAAGTCACTTCTTCTTGGTGTTTGTTGTTGGATTCTTGAATACTGCTCTCTAAGGTTTTGATCTTCCTCTCGTGGTCTTCTATCATATGGTCAAGCTCTCTTTGCAGTGCTGCTAGATCCTCCTGCACAAAGTAACAATTAATTTCAATTTTATTTGTACAGCACCAAATCACAACAAAGGTCGTCTCAGAACACTTTACGAAGTAAGGTCTAGACATTACTATTATTATTATTATTATTATTGTTATAGAGGAAAAACCCAACAGTCAGGCACATGTTGTAAGAATCATTACAAACATACAATGCTGGTATATCCAGTACACCATACATCATACAATGTAAAACTGAATCTTATTTGTTGTTGATTATTATCACCTTGGCTTGCTGCTTAGTCCTCTCTAAATCTTTATGAGACAGTGCAAGACTTTGCTGAGCTTCTGCCTTCTCCAGTAGTAAGGCATCCATCCTCTCAGTCAGCTCCTACAGTATCACACACACACCAAATGATGCACTGAATGATCACGATGCAGTGTAGAAATAAAATACAGCATGTCAACATATGAATATTTATTGCAGATGTATCATGAGATACTGCTTTATAAACAAACCTGTATTAGTGTGGAGTCATCTGAGCTGCTGTTACTGTTTATGGATTGCTGTTTAAAGGATTCAACTTCTTTTTCCAAACCTGATAAAAGAAATAGTGTAATGTCACATTAAATACTACTGGCCCACATTGCCACACTCAAACACAAACACACAAGCTATAAAAGCCTATACAGTCACCTGCACATCTGCTCTTCATCTTCTGCATGGCAGCCATCTGCTTCTTGGCAAACTTGATGAGGTCATCTTTGGACAGTGTGTCCAGCTAAGAATACAATATGAACAAAAAGGGGTGTGAATCTATACCAAAACATATCTAAAAGTTAATAATGCGTATACAAATTTAGACACATATGTCAGATTTTATTTTATTTTTAACTTTTAGAAAAATAATGTTTAAAAATATAGATAGGTGTAGTGCTTGTTGAAGTGAAGCACCTTTGACTTCATGGCACCCGCCGGTGATGGAGCTGCAGACTCGGCTCCAGTATCACCTGGGTCCTGTTTCGGTGAAGGAAAAAAAGAAGAAATTTAAAAAACCTAACTGGGTGCAAATTGCAACAAACTAATTTAAAAGCTAAAATCTGTTAGGTATGCTACATTACTAGGATCTTTGTTTTGTTTTACTGCTCGACTTAAAGTACACAATAAAAACAGTATTTTCTTGGAAAATGTTGCTCTGCTTGTTATCAAAGTTGTGTTATTGAAAGAGCACGTTTTAAAATATTTCTATTTCAGTATGACACATATAGAGTACAAGCATAAGTTAAGTACATTGCATTTTGCTGTAAATAGTTAATCTTTCTATCAATATTACACAAATACACTGGATGTCAAGCAGTGTCAATGACTTCTGAGAACATATTTTGTCAAAATATATGAGAATGTGACAGGGTTTTGCCTGTTGTGCCAGGTGAATAAAACGACGTTAATGCCACTTCGTATTGCCTTATTCTACCTAGTAACTTAACGTTAAGTGTCGATATGCAGAGCGTTTAAATGCCATGATTTGAAATGAAGTTCCTTGAGCCAACAGTAGACAATCTGTAACAAATGTGAATAGCTCAGCGTCGCTATTACGAACGGCACAACATTATATTATAGTCTTAGCTAACTTGAATATGCTACACACACGTATGACAGACTGGCTAAAGCTAACCCCTCGACAATGAACATTTACCTCCATTTTAGTCGACAGGCTGCTTCTCACTCGTGTAGAAGGCACAGAAAGGTGACAGATAACTTGAGTGGACGGAGTAAAAGCGATATCCGAACTTATTTCGGATTCCTAGAAGATTTAACACGAAAACATCCTATCTGTTGTGGTTTTGAATTAACCGACTAGCAAGGACTTGCTTCCGCAAACGTCAAACAAGTGACGTCACAAGATAAACAGGATTTTTTTTTTCCGGTATTGGATTATTACTGGACAGGAACGTTCCAGAACATTTAATAACATTCTCTAACAAAGGAATAACGTAATGGAAACGTTCTTGTAACAAAATATTCATAGATAGATAGATAGATAGATAGATAAGGCTACATTAGGCTACATTATTTAATACAAGGTACTGTTTATATGTCATATAAAAAATTTACTGGGTGAAAGGTATGGTGACAGATAATTTTGCATTTCACTACCATTCACATGTGGAAGTAATCACCATGAGATATCAAACTCACAGATATCAAACACTTCTCTTGATGACCAGTACTGAAAAGCCCCAGAACAAAATGACCAAAACACACTGGTGACAGTCAGTCATAACTAAGACAGTTAGAAATAGCAGAAGATGGTAGCTGCAGATAGCACATACAGTGGCTGAGAACCTAAAACTTGCTGTTCTGTTTGGTAGTTTACAGCAATTGCATATGGGATGTTGTTTTAGGGACTGCTATAGAGAGGTGAGAGGCATATGCCCTCATGCTGACATCAGGCCTGTCATAAACTCAGTGGATTGCCTAGTTGTGCATCTCTATTCCCATCACGTGAGGTTCAGTTTTATCTCTTGAATATGGAGAGTGTCTGTTTTGACACGCGTGATAGAAGCACTGACGGAGGCAGTTTAGTGAGATGCCTCTCATCCTGTCAAGGCTAGGCTGCTCTGGGCAGAGGGGCAGGGGCTCTGCCGACTCCCCGTCTCATCTGGAAGAGACCCATCTCTGCCTTCCACCCCGTCTGGGTCAAACACACCCATCCATCACGTTCCATCCCTTGTTTTCTCCCAGGGCTTCCAGCAGTGTTTTGCTGCCATTTTTCTCCCCCATCTCATAGCCGTCAGTCAGGGACAGCAGTAATATAACTGACACTGGATGGTATTCAGGGAGTAATGAATAACCCGGCTGGGTCTATCAGGATGAGCAACAAACATTCTTTCATGCTTCTCTCTTTCTTCTTTGTCTTCTTTCTCTTTACCTCTTTCTCATCCTTACATTCCCTTCCTAGTTTTGTCTCCACAGTCACTGCATTTCAAACTAACATGGAAAATGAGATGCAATGGATGTTTGTTTAAAAAAGCATCAATTTTCCTGCCATTTTTGAAAGAAGATTTTCTGTACAATAGACATAAAACTACAACCTGTAGCAGGTTATCATAACTTTATATAAAGTCAACAGAGGAAAAAAGCCAGTCTGGCGCAAACGTAACAAAATCTTCCTGCCAGTTGACAGAATGTGTCATGAATTTATCTTATCTTATACTGTATTTAACACCAGAATACAATACCAGCATCTGTTACTTAAAAGTAAGCCATGTAAGAGAAATAAACTTTTGATTGAATGTCAAAAATTTGAAATCTTGCCTGTAAGTCTCAGCAATCAGTGTAGAAGCACTGACGTGAGGAGTGGCAATGAAATAATCATCCTCTCCAGCTGCCATTCCTACTTTCTTCCTCTATTTGCTCTTCCTGTCCACTGCACTTGACCTCCTACCCAATCAGTGAAAGGTGACTTTTGGGGTAGTGAGGTGGGGTGTTTATATCACTAACCCCCTACAGTGCGATTGAAGCCTTTCAGTCGGGGCTCTGCAGAGACCAAGAAAGACAGAGTCAGTTAGTTGGTTATCATCTGAATGAACAAGAATTTTACTGAAGACACTATAAGTTTGTTTTGGGTTCACCTGATGCCAATAAACAGGGACAATTGATTAGTATAGATAAAATTCTAATATCTCATGCAATCATAGCTTATATTAACCAAGGGCACCAGCAAAAATATAGACCTGATAGAATTTTTTTCTCTTCCCTCTTTAAATTTCTCTGACTTACTTTTTTTTTAAAACCTTGAACAAAGCTATTATTCATTCTTAGGAGCATTTAAAGTCCAATTACATCACCAGTAGTATTATTTATTTTCAACTTCCTCCATCACAACCTAGGTATTTGCATTTGTTTGAATGAGCCCTTCAGATCAGATTGTCATCTTTAGTCAGCATTTACACTGTTCCACTCCATATTTTGTTCATTGTATCCTGTGCTTGTTTTCTTCCTGACATTTTACCTCTGCAGACTGGCAAGTCCATTAATAGGCCTGACATTTTAACATATAGCTTTGACATTTTAATGTATTAATGTGAGAGCAGAACCTCTGAGATTGTTCTTTTCACTATAGCCCCTAAGAGAATGGGTTTTCTAAAAAAATAACAAAAGCTTATGAAAAATGACATGTAAAGAGCCAACATCATTAAAAGTAGCTCAGACCTTAATGACATATTCTAATTGTCTAATAGTTAATAAAATCTCTGTGTCAAAGAAGGTAATCTGTAAGAGACTGTATATCATTAATCAAACAGAATCTGTAATTTTCATTTAATGCTTTTCACTAGCATTTATAAATGAGTTTGGTTGAATATTTATTTTATAAATTTGCAGCCGCTGTCTCCTAGAATTTATGTTCAAATACTACCAAACCGTTTTCTCAGTTAAACTGTAGAGGCAACGCAGTCACTGATTGGATTTTGTTCAAAGACATTTTTTTAATAAATGATTGAATAAACCACTGTATTTATTAAGAGCAGTGCAGTTGCCTGTGTGATTTAGTTGAGGTGGATGGTGGGTGCATCACTCTAACAACAGGCTGGAGTTGGGATTCACAGTCCAGTTTTTGGCTGGATTTAAGCAAAGTGCTTTTGTAACTTAAGGAAAGGATCATGTTTTTTGTTAAACTGAAGTAGACTGCCTTAACCAAGTGCTGTGGGTGCACATAACCATACAAAATTTTAATAATGCAGTGGTCACTACACAAGGATCTTGTACCACAGGACTGACTGGAATCAAAGGTGTTATCTGGAAACATTTTATTTACAAAACATATTTGCAACATACCATATATGCAAAGTAGCAATATTTCCTCATTATCTTAATAGAAAATATAACCTTGTTACATACTCTGGATCCAGGGTTGCGAACATCGTTTAATTAAGCATTTATTCAGCCAAAGTACTGAACAAATTAAAATTCTGACCCAATGATGGTGCTAGATGAATGGTCAGGGAGATGTGCAAGTGTGACAGAAATGTTAGATGCCCCAGCCTGATGCTCGTATATTATTGATCTCAAAGTCGCATCCTGTCAGCTGGGCCTTGGATCTGTTGGATTCAGAAGTTGACCTTTGATCTCACTCTGACTCTCAGGTTGTTCTGACTTTTTAAAGCAGAAGCCACTGGGTTCACCTCAGAAACTGTGAGCCAATAGACCATGGGTCAAATATATTTACAAACACTCCTTTACTCTTGTTTTAGCCTGCAGTCAGTCATCAGCTGTTGGTTCTCTATTGTACTTATCAGTCACGTTTTTGGCAGTAAACGGCATCGTCTTGGACTTGGTTTTGCGAACAGTAAATTAATGCCCTCATTTCAGCCTGCCACGGTGTGAGCGGAGGGATACAAGTAAAGGATGGAGTGATTAGGAAGAAGGAGCAGTGAGTGTAGCGGTGTTCTCTTCCATGCCCATAGGCTGTCAGTGTGTTGTATATAAATTGTTTGGTGGCTCAGCAGGAGAACAACACTTCATCAAGGACCATGGGCACAACCTGCATGCATCTACACTTAACACAAGCGCTCAGCCTTGATTACAACAAACAGTCTTCCTCTCTCTCCTGTCCCTGCTCAGTTCTGTCTGTTGCCCTTCTCTTCTACATGCTTACAGCACATTTTGCACATCCTGCACAGATGTTGCAGGGTTTTTTCCTCAAACGACAGAGTTGAAACCAGGTAGCGTTTTCCGCAAAAATACAGTATCTCACAACCAGTAAGATACTCAATAGACAAATAATCCCCACCTAGACACTGACTATCTAGATATAGTACTAGATATTTTAGCTGTTTAATGGCTTATTTTCACTGCTGGCAATTCTGTCCCACTTATATGCTGAATAAAATGTCTGACATATTGAACAGCACTTGATCAGCTAGTTTCTGTTGTGTTCGAACAGTTTCCCTTCAGTAGCGCTGCAACTTTTTCAAAAAATCAAGTTTGTTCAAATGTGTAAACTGTTATGTAAATAATTCAGATTCAGCCCAGTGTAGCACTGATATCTCATTCACTTGAGTGAAAAGATATATTAATAGGTGACAAATTTGTTGTTTTGGGAATATTAGTTGTATTTTATAAGGGCAACAAAAAGTATTACTTTTATTCTAATTTATTCCATGGATTGCACTGAGTCCAAAACGCTTCCATACATTAAATCTCAGGTAGTTTGGTGTCATGAAAAACCTTTCAGCTTGGCCCTTTGCTTTTCTTCAATTTGTGCTGACCAGGAGAACAACAGCCTAGTTTACTGAGGGCAGTAGGGTACGCAATATATCAGAGTTGACAGTGCATATTACAGACATCCTCTTTCGGAGTACAAAGAAAATCCTTTTGTGTTCAAGTTCTTCTAGTTCAGTCTTGACTGTGGGATGTGGCGTATTTCTGAAAAGCTAATAAATGGACCTTGAATTTGAGATTACTTTGTCACACATACTGTGAATTTTGAATTCATTACAGATCAGTCTGAATATTGCATTTTTGCCCAAGCTTGAGCACTAGTTAGAATTTCAAAGCTTGAAGTGACAGCCCTAGTAGCCAATGACATATCCTTTGTGTCAATGACACTGAAGCAACATTTGTCATGCCAATCTAACTAACGTTTGTTACGTTTGTAAGTAGACTTACAACATCCTGCACAGTTGTATCCGTCTTGTTGCCAATTCTGAGTCTACTGTCATGGCTGTAACTAGGTAGCCAGCTAGCTATGAGGTAAGCGATATCCCCTTATATGCTGATCTGATTTTCAAGATAGTCAATCTTTGAGTATACATAGAGATTTGGACTGGAATTAGCCAGTTGCTGAGAAAATGCAATATTTTTTAAAAGACCATTAGTAAGTA